CAATGACACTTGTACATATATATATATATATATATATATATATATATATATATATATATATATATATGCATATATATATATATATATATATATATATATATATATTTATATGCATATATATATATATATACATATATATATATATATATATATATATATATATATATATATATATATATATATATATATAGTTCTTGATTTATATATAATCAAATGGATAAATATAGGTAAGTGTACCAGCTGGCGTTCGTATATGCCTTATAGTGTAAGAAAAAACAGTGCTCAATGTTAAATAACAGAGCTATTTAATATATTAAAAATATACATAATACTCTACGTTGATTGCAGAACTCGAACTATCAGGTGCAAGTTTAAGGGTGACACCGTTTGTTTAATATCTCTTGATAACCAGAAATATTAAACAAACGGTGTCACACCAAACTTGCACCTGAAGATTGCAAAAGGCATGAAACTCCGAGTAGGGTATTGTGGATATTTTATATATATATATATATATATATATATATATATATATATATATATATACAGGGTGCGGCTGGTATTTGAGGACAGATTTTATGGATTAATAAAAAAAACTTGCTGAACAAATAAATATAATTATATTTGATTACAAACAGGTAAACATGAAATTTAGCTAACTATTATTTAATTTTATTCAATAAAACCACCAGTAGCATCAATAACTGCCTCTACACGAAGTCGAAATCGACTGCAAGCTCTGATTAATTGGTCCTTATTTATGTCAGACATTACTCGAACTATTGCAGCTTTAAGAGAATCTTTGGTGTTATGAGGCTGTTTATTAACCTCCTTCTCAACAACGCTCCACATATCTAGTGGATTGAAATCTGGAGAGTTAGGAGGCCAAATTTTGGGTGATATGTGGTCGTACAAATCGCCAGCCATACGTTCTTGTGTTCGTAGAGCCGAGTCTTGCTGGAATATGTAAGGCCAGCCGTTGCATATGTTGTCAATCTAGGGCTTGACAACTGTCTCTAGAACCTCAATGTAAGCAGCAGCATTTACTCTAAGACCTTGTGGGAAAAAGTGTGATAGCATAACATGTCTTTCATTGCTAACAACACCCAATACCATAACACTTGAAGGAAACTCTTGGCACCTCAGAAGGATCTGAACAAAGCCATCTGTCATTTCTTCTGTTAAGTTTTTGATCTTGATCAAAATTTTTCTCATCTGAGAAAAAACAAATGGCACCAGCTTCTGAAGGATGTTTACATTTGTTTAAAAGCCTTTTGGATCTGTTTATGGTTTTTTTTTTTGGGGGGTTCCAGACATAAATTGACCTCTCTTCATCACGTAGGATTTGTATCGAATGTCTTCATGGACACTCCTTCTGATTGTTTATTTCAGACACATGCAGATTTTTGGCAATTGACCTCATTGATTGACCTCAGTTTTCATCAATTGTCTTCTTGACTTCCTGAATAAATTCGGGTGTTCTCACTTTATCAGAAAGTGCAGAATGTCTTTTACATTTTGATACAGACATTGGGGAACTGCCAGCATCTTCTAACTCTTTTCATATCTTGTGGACAAACGATCTTGCAACTCTGAAGAAACGTGCAATATCCAAATCGCTATGATCAGCCTTTAATGCCACAATCACAGAATGCCTTGTCATTTCATTTGTTACCATAGGGTTTGTCATTCTTGATTTATGAAAAATAAAAGTATTAGAAATTAGTGGGAAGCAGTATTAATCTTAAATCTGTATGTCCTCAAATACCAAATACCAGCCGCACCCCGTGTATATATATATATATATATATATATATATATATATATATATATATATATATATATATATAATTATGTTAATTTCAAGCGAAATTTTTTGAATCGCTTGAAGATGGAACAGTGCTTATTTTAACTCAATTTAATTTAAATAATTATATTGAAGTTTTCAGCTCTTGTTTTGAAACATGAGACTTCTTATGTAGCGTTTTGGAATTATATTTTTAAATATATAATTATATTTATGCTCTACTTTTGTATCGAGCACTATTTTTTTAAAATAATAACAAAAATACTAAGGGACTTTGGATTATTTACCTAACCAGTTCCTTCCTATTTTCTATATATTTTCACACACACACACACACACACACACACACACACACACACACACATATATATATATATATATATATGCACCAGGTCTCTGTATTCGGCTCTTCAAAAAGTGTTGTTGGTTCTACACAGAGCCTTCACCAATATGAACAAATCATATGTGCAGGTGTCTGGCTGTCGGTTCCTAGGAACTGAGTTGCTTGAACCTCATACGTCGAATGCGACGGGAGAGTCCAGTATATTTATTTATCATTGGTGACTCTAGGTCATAGTTTTACTCGGATTCAGACCCAACGCCGGTGAGGGGGCTGAACTCCTTCTTATAATTTCGATCCAGCTTTAATCAAAGCACCCCCACCCACCAAATTGACACGAACCTTAAAGGCTGCACTCTCCCGTTAAAACATCCTGGCAATGGGTCTGTTCTGACTCAATTTTCAACAGAACCTACTCTATGTGTAATTTTGGATATAAGAAGAATTTTAACACCTAACTAGGCATTTACTCTGTCCCCCCACTAAGACGAGTTGTGACATAAGGTCAGTTTTTAAGGTGGGGACCCAAGCGTATACACCCGGGCTAAGAACATAAATTGTCCGCAGCCCCAGCAATCGTCGGTTGCGCTAGTCCCGGTGCGAGTACCGGTCCCTCTCTCTGATGCAATGAGAAGGCGCGACCTCGGGCAGCTGTTTCCCAGGGCTGGGCACCTCTCTGGATAATTTTTCTCAGTTGACGGAGCCGCCCCTGAGCGCACTCTGCCCAAAGACAGACACACAACTGAAAATGTGTCACAAACTACTCAGGAGATCAACTTACGCACCTAGCACCTAAAGTTAGTCTTAAATATAAGTATCTCTAATTTACATCGTGGAAATTTGACACCAGAGTATAAAAAAAACCTATGAAACTTAATCTTATGGAAATTTTCTGCTATTTATCACTCAGTCTTATCAGATAATTTTCTTTACCGTCGGGGCAAATTATGCACAATTAATTATTCCATACAAACACACAGTAGTGTAATCCTAAGTCAAAATTTTTCGCCTTTTTAATATGTGTATGTATATGTTTATTCGTTACTATCTCTCTTTCTTTCTCACACACACACAGTATTAGATCTTTAAACTTGAGCACTTTTCAGCCCGACTTTGTATTTTTTTACACTTTTTTTTATAATGAACATAAAAATGAATTAAAATCAATATTTAAAACTATGAAGTTTAAATTTTTAAAAAAAGGGTTTACTTTGAATTACTGATGTATATTATTCTATCCTCCATGTCTGGTTGAATTATGATAACAAACATACAAACACACATACATGCACACACATGCCACACACTCACGCGTGCACAGACACACATACACACACACACGCAAACCATTGGATTTTTTTTTAATTTGAATAGATGTTTTCAGCCCTACTATTTTTTTTTTACCCCATTGAACAAAATAAAGAGAAAAATGAAGTTAAAAGATATCTAAATTTGGTACGGCGTTACACAAGACATCGCAGTAGACTATTTCAAATTCCCATCTTTCCAAAGAACAGAATGTAGACAAAGGAATTCTGCCTACGACACAGACTCCACATTGGTTCTTGAAAATGACTTAGACGGCCGACAATATTCGAATAAAGCAACAATACAAACACAGGAACTTTGGACAGTTTATCCACAATTTTGATCTCAATACATAACACTTTATTCGAAAATTGAAAAAAATAGAACAAGTTCAACAGAGCTTGTCAGTTCTTTTTAATCAATCTTGTTTCGATGAATACTTACTGCCTAAAATATACCTTTTTCATGTATACACACACACACACACACATATATATATATATATATATATATATATATATATAATCAAAATCCGGGCAGGCTGTGACTGGCACGACTGCTAGTTTCATGCGATGGCACGGAATCGTCGGGCGCATGAAACTAACAGTCGTGGCCAGTCACATCCTACCCAGATTTTGATTTAATATTGAAATTTAATATTGAGGCTCCGCCATTTCTTATGGCATTAAGCACTTTTCTATCAGTAAGACTCTTTTTAGAGCTGTTCATCCTTTTCTGATATATATAATATGTATATATGTATATGAGAGAGAGTGATAGAAAGGGAAAACATTGAAATAGAACTAACTCTCGAAAAACAAAAATACAAGTAATCACAGATAGATAGATAGATAGATACGAAAAGAAGAATTTGTAGATAGATAGATAGATAGATAGATAGATAGATAGATAGATAGATAGATAGATAGATAGATAGATTCGAAAAGAAGAATTTATAGATAGATACCCAAAAGAAGAATTTATAGATAGATAGATAGATAGATAGATAGATAGATAGATTCGAAAAGAAGAATTTATAGATAGATACCCAAAAGAAGAATTTATAGATAGATAGATAGATAGATAGATAGATAGATGCGAAAAGAAGAATTTATAGAGTGATATGAAGAGGCTTAAATTGTTACCTATAAACATAGATAATGAAGAGGCTGAAACTGATATATATATATATATATATATATATATATATATATATATATATATATATATATATATAGAGAGAGAGAGAGAGAGAGAGATAGATAATCTTATCCAAAATGCCTAATTTCTTTTTAAAAACTCATCAATCTGAATCTGTAGAAGGACCATTAGGCATTTGGGGTGAAGCTTCTATGTTTACAAAACATTATACATTTCCATCCCTTTATTATCGAGAAGGAAGTTGGCACCAATTGGCCAACCAGTTGGTACCAGTTCTTCTGACTGGCTGTTGAATATTTGGTGTCTTTGTTCTGTCATTGTTTCTCGTTGATTTGTTGTCTTATAAATGTCTTCTCTCTTCAGACAACAAAGAAATTCTCCAGTGTCGTCGAAATATTTTCGGAGATGACATTGAAGCCTTGTATATTAATATAGAACAATCGGAGATGCCTCGACAAAAAATGATCCATCAATTTTGCGAGTACGTATTAATTCAAAATTCCTTTTTTTCGTTCGTTTCGTATTTGTTCTGAATTTGATGCTGTACAGTTTATGCGAGGACTTTAATCAACGATTAACACTCGTCAGTGCCTAGTTGAAGTTGGGGAACATTTATTTATTTTTTACGAAATTTTCCGACACCCGATCTTATTACACATCTATAGAGCCTAGTCTACTCCATTGTACTAGTTGGCCGTTAACCCTACAATAAGCTTCATCTGCCTTTTGACAGGCCTTGTCTTTGTTCCTGCAGTGTCTAGCAACTATCGTTACCACAAATGGCTGGTTGGGGTAACGGTTTAGTTGACAATGATCCGACCATGCAGCAGGTAATAATTGTTTATATGACATAAATTGCACTCGTAGAGTGACCTAACATAAAATAAGATAAACCTTTACGTTTCTTAAAATATTACTTATTGAATGTTTGTTCAAGTCAGTATAATAATAATTCAGCAGGTATAGATGTACGTCGAGGGGCAACGAGATGGCGGAGAGACAGCCGACACAAATATGCCGGGCCTCGAAACCCGAGGGGCCTCAAGAAAAATTAGAATTTTTTCGTTTTTTTTTTTTTAATTTTACAATTCGTTCCCGGTACGCCCTAAATAAAATTAACGTTGATTTTATTTTTACTTTTGTTGAGCAAAAAGAAAAAAAAGCTTTCAAATTCAAACTATCAAATAGGATAATAAGAATTCTTTTATAAAGAACTTTGTACAAAAATAAATGAGACGAGTTTCCTTATTGAGCCACATTACATTTTAATCTTTTAATTTATACATGTGGACGAATCGAAACCCGAGGGGTTTCAAGAAATTACCTCCAGGAGTTTAGGGTTGGAGTGGAGGCTTCTTTAAGTAGAGAGCAAAATTCCGAATCGGTATTTTATTGAAAAAATACGAAGACTAAAAGCCAGTTCTAAAGCTGCTTAAAAGTGCATTTTTCGAACTTTCATTGAAGCAAAATGCGCGATGAGTTCCTCAAAGTCTAATTCTCATGCCAAATCACACTCGATCGCAAGAGTTAACAAGTAAGACACGCTCTTTAAAAAGTCTTTGAAAACACGCTAGATCAAGTTTATTTGTGCCGGCATCTCCTTTTCCGACCTCTTAAAATAATCTGAGTGCCAGATCTCGAAAATTCTCTCCCCGGTACTGTCGAAGGTGTTTTATACCCTGCAATGTTTTATTCATCCGTTCCGTTTCTTTGGTAGAAAAGTCGACGAATATCAAAAATGCGTCGCCGAAGAGGAAAAAGAACAAATAACAATCGAACTGATGCAAGGAATGTGTGAATATGGGTTCGAAGGTAAGTTCGAAAGACAAGTTTTTTGTTTCTTTTTTTTTTAAACTCGTTGAAAATGTCGCCATTAAAACAGGCTCATCGCCAGAGTACAAGAGGCGAGCCGCCTCATAAAAAAATCATTTGCACCATCTGTGAAAATGGTATGAACTAATTTTATATGCAAATTCTTATTCGCCAATCCTATGCACACACGCAAATCACTCTGGCGACGGACCTCAATTAAACTCATTCAGTTCGTATCTACTGAATTTTTTGTTACCATACTCACTTTCAAATAATTTATACAATCATTATCATTTGATTTCTATTATAATAATTATTTGCAAATAAATAAAGAAAACTACTCGATAAAGAACATTTGGCAAACATGGAAAAAAAGTGTCCGCAATAAGAAAGAACGGTTTTTCCCGTGACACCGCTTTTGATTTAACTACCTTAACTCTACGGCAATGTTTATTGTTTTAAAAACATGGAAAAAAAGTGTCCGCAATAAGAAAGAACGGTTTTTCCCGTGACACCGCTTTTGATTTAACTACCTTAACTCTACGGCAATGTTTATTGTTTTAAAAACATGGAAAAAAAGTGTCCGCAATAAGAAAGAATGGTTTTCCCCCGTGACACCGCTTTTGATTTAACTACCTTAACTCTACGGCAATGTTTATTGTTTTAAAAACATGGAAAAAAAGTGTCCGCAATAAGAAAGAACGGTTTTTCCCGTGACACCGCTTTTGATTTAACTACCTTAACTCTACGGCAATGTTTATTGTTTTAAAAAGCAATGATCAGAATAGTAATAAAAATGGAAACATATGCTTAAAGTGAATTTCTAAATTTTTTTTTCTTGAGAATTTGCAAAAAAAAAAAAATTAAACTCTCTGTTTATTTACAATATTTACAGCATTACAATTTAAAAGTAAAACTAATGCAATGGAATATTCATCATTGCGTAACTACACACAAAACAATCTTTGAAAACGTGTATAGCAGCATTCAAAATTACTCGGTAAAAAATATAAAATAAAAGTTAATATGAGTTAATATTCGCTTAAGGATAAAACGGAACTTATGTCTTTAATTTTATTACAAAATTAAATTCGAAGCTTTTAGCTTCCATTTTTGAAACATGGTTAGAACTGTTTAGCGAAAAAACATATTTTAAATCAATTAATTTATAATATATATATATATATATATATATATATATATATATATATATATATATATATATAGTTAAATTCTCAGATGAATTCTGTGGACAAGACAGATTTCATTTTTGCCTTGCAAATTTCGGAAGACGAAACGCGTCGGCAGAATGTAAGATTTTTTTCCAATTGTCATTTGATACCATATATATATATATATATATATATATATATATATATATTCATGCTACATTTCCTTTTATTTTCAGCTGTGTATAAGAATATTACTTGTTTGTCAAAGGTTATCACAGAACTGAAGTCCACGTGTATATCCAAGCGTGACGCCTGCGCCATGTAAGATTTTTATTATCTTCCGAATATTTTTATTGTTATTTCGTTATCTTTTCTTTATCTTTGTTCCGAATCCTAACAATTCTACATGCTTAAATATTTTTGTTATGGAAGCCCTATTGAACACTCTCGCTTTTTTTTCTCCTTCAGAGTAAGAGAGAAAACAATAATAGAAAGGCTCTTTCTTTAAGTAATTAAAATTAATACCCGTATGTAAATGTTCCTTCCTATGCCCTTCCTTAAAACTTATCAACTTTAACAGTAGCTGTCTTATGATACAGTCCCGGGTAAATCCGAGCTAACCTCCATGGTTCGCCTCTCCCCCTTTGTCCGTTTTAGAGTCCTCGCTTTTATAGATGATCCCACCATCAAATTTAACATTGATATATCTAATTTCTCCATCCCAACCGTTTTAATCTTAGGAGATCTTCTTAATGGCATTCCCTTTGTTTATAATCTTCTGTTTTTTCTTTCTGTAGAGATGATGGTGTTTTGGGGCGAAAGCCATCAATATAAAAAAAACCCAAACTTGGGTATTAGACAAAATCCTAATACCTTCTTAGGTTAAAAGAATTAGAGTCATACTTTTCTGTGGGGATATACGCGGGTCGGCATAGTTAGTATAATGGGAACCTTCATTTTGCTCAATTTTACTGAATCTTGGCAAGTTAATTATTGGTTTGATACTCCTTGGAAACGTTCTTAAATTCATTTTATTGCTTTAAAACATAATTCTTAATCCGTTTCTTTTTCATTATTTTGTAAATCATTCAAACTACACTCCTGGGGATTTTTAATAATTATTATCCCATTAGTAGTCCCTCCAAATCACAATCCTGCAATTTCATGCAATTAAACGTTTAAACAATGTCAGCGCCCGGTTACACACAGTATGGTGGGTTGTAGCTGTAAAGGTATGAATTGGTGGAACTAAGAAATTTAGCTCTTCTGAACATTTTCCGTGGAATATATCACGAGTAGCAATAGGCATTTAATGTTTCATCTGTAGGAAAGGGGCTGTAGGATTGAAAAAATTCTTTTAAACTGAGTCAAGGCCAGAAAGTGAGGACGGGACAGCTTCAATCCAACAACACTGTACAACATTGTTGACAACACTAACAACAGGTTTACTGAATAGAAGGAAAAACTGATGAATAAAATGTCTATTATTTACTGGAAGATTAAACTCTCTACTTTCTGGATGGTGATTTGAGAAGTCCAGTAGTAAACGTTAAGACAATGATCAGCCAGTCGACTCTCAATTCTTCTGTCATGCATGTCTCTGTACTTTCGCTCCGGCCACGCAATATGGCAGCAATGCGCCATTTTTTATTTGATCTAGCTCTTTTAAAGATAGAGCACAGAAGGAGGAGTCAGACACTCTCTAGTGCTGTACAAGAAACCGACCATTTTTCCATCATCTTTTGTAATGGATCGTATATATGAGTTCCACTTGAGGTCTGGGGTGATCTTGAGCCTCAGTAGGCATTCAAGGTTAAAAGCTTCATTGGGAGTTCAACTGTTCATCATGACGGGAGAAAATTCAGGGTCTTTTCTGATGTGAACACAAATATATGAATAACAAGACACCTGGAGATACAAGGGTATAGAAAGCAATGAAAATGAAGATGCCTTTTTTTTAAAATAGATTAATTTTCCAGTTTTTTCAAGCGTATCAATTAATTTAATATCAATTAAATTAAATTGATATTATGTATCATGTCTTCTAAGAGAGTATTACTTGGGGAATCTTGATTGATAATGTTGTTGACAATGTTGTTGACAATGTTGACTGAAATTGCTTGTAAAATACGGCAAGGGTGTGTTGAGATTGGGGAAAACACCTAACCGATTGCTCTCCCAACTGCTACAATCAAGTGCCCTCTTTTTGTAGGGCATTTTGTCCCCCTTCACGAGTTTACAATTCACGTGTTATTGGCCGCAACCGACAGGTCAATTTTCGTTTTCACACATACCAAATGAAATCAATATTTGCCAAGCGAAAATGAACATTGTCTAGTATGCTGTATGTGGTAACAGACTGGTGAATTGATGTCCCCCGACAATAAAGAATTAGTCAAAATTATCGAAATGCAACTTCTTTTTTATTTTATTTAGTTCCGAAGAATGGTTTCAATGCAGCCTAATGGTAACCCAAAATATCTGCGGTGAATACCTTGGTTATGTGATGGCAGATTTGCAACAACTATACTGCCAGGTAATTTTACTCTTCAACACTTTTGATACGATAAGTAGTGGGTTAGTACAGCTTGTCTGGAGTGTCTTACTCACCTGATTTTGCACCATCCGTTTCCCACTTATTTTAATCTCCACAAAACTTTCATAATGGAAAGAACTTTAACCAGTTCATCGCCCAGAAATATACCAAGTTCTGAGAGGATGGTATCATGAAGCTGCCTCAAAAATGCTGAAAGGTAATAAAACAAAATGACACATATGTGTTTAAATCAGTCTATGTACAAATATCTAAATATTGTCTTAAAAAACGACCCAAACTTGTATTCTAATCCACTACAGTAAGTTTTTTTTTCTGTAACAACTTCGACAAACCACTGTTCGGGTTTTTGTTTTGATTTGGGGGTTTTTGATTTTTTTTTTTTTTTTTTCATTTATTTTTCAGTTGTAATTTGAATTTCGATTTCTGTACAATGTTAAGGAAATCTTATAGGTTTATTCAACCTCTATATTAAGTGTACATGAAGTCAGCCATGGTTATTCTTTACAAATCTTTAAGACAATTTCAAAATCTAGAAAAATCGATTTTGCATGGACTTACGGAAATGGACATTGGTTAACGTTTAAAGAACCAAAAAGAGAATCTTTCTTTTACCGTGAAATACTCAATTTAACTCATAGTGATCAAACTCAGATAGATAGATAGATAGATAGATAGATAGATATTAAACACATTTCTTATTATTAAGAGCAAAAATCGAATCTTAAACTGATACTTATTGCGGGAATTCTGATTGTGTTTAGGTAGAAAACACGTGTCACCTGATATGTATTTTCCCACAACAATAATGGCGGACTCGAATGTGATTACGAATAATCAATGGATAAAATAATAACAAAACTATACATAAACAAACGAAAATGTACATATTAACAAAACAAGGATATACATAGACAATAATAGATTGTGGTGTGACACAAAAAAAAACTCTGAATCTGAAAAAAGAAAACATTTAAACTAGTGAAGGTGGTTGTGTAGAAGTAACTTCTACAGAGAAGTAAATGAAAGTGAAGTGAAAAATACGTTTCATGCATGCGTTTCCTGGTGAGGGACACATTCCCACCACGAGCGAACTACATCTTATTGTCTAAGAGAAAAATAGAAAAGAGAGTGTGATAGAGAATGTCACTTTCTATTTATAGGTTTAGGGAGCGTCCCCTAGCGCCTTTTTTTTTTTTTTAGTAAAGTGCAGATAACCCCCACACTCTCGACTTGTCTATTACTCTAATGGCTATGGATTTAAATCCATTAAATCTTCCGACGTATTCGTTTGATATAAATGTTGTAGTGGAGTGGGGGGGGTGAAGATGAAAAGAAAACACGTGCGTTTATATTTCCTGCTAGAAGGTCCAGCAAACAGGGAAAATGGCGGACTCTAGTTGTGTCCAACCGAAGATGAAAGAAGACAAACAAGACCGATATATATATATATATATATATATATATATATATATATATATATATATATATAAGTTTTGTCTATTTATTTTAAGTCTCCATGGGTTCAGTACTGGGTCTGACATTTATTAATTTCTACATGTCGAACCTCGAAAATAAGATATTTACAGATTTTAAAAAAACATCCATCTACCTAAGATACGTTGATGATATTCTTATGTTAGCTAAAAATACAGATGAAATACTTCAACTTCCAAAACGTTTCTAAAATAATTCTGTCCTTAAATTCACATATGAACTCAATGCTAATAATAAAATGCCTTTCCTTGACATATTGATAAACACAAATAATAACAAAAAAAAACAACCAGCATAAATTCATGTACACTTAACCACAAAAGCGAATGTCCATACTACTACAAAATAGCAATTATAAAAATCTAATACATCGTGCAGAAACTAATTCGTCTACAAATCAGATTTTTTACAGTGAACTAAATAATATAAAACAAACACTTATTAATAATAGCTTTCCAAACTATATAGTTGATGAACAAATAAAATGCTTTCTTAGAAGCAAATAGAACATAATATTGCTTCAACTAATCCCAAACATATTAATCTCATATATCGTAGTCAAATGCATACTAATTATAAACAAGATGAAAATATACTAAAAAATATAGTAAATACTAATATATCTACATCAGATCCTAGCAAAAACAAATAGGTTAATCATATACTACACTAAATCTAGTATATCCATCTTAATGGTTCGCAATGATTCTCCACCCTCCCCGTTAGCGATTTGCAAAAAACCAACATAGTTTACAAATTCAAGTGCCTTTTGGGAGATTGTATCTCCAATGGATTAAATAATATTTATCTTGGTCACACCACAAACTCGCTTTCACGACGCTTGACTCTACATTTGAATGATAACTCTAACATTTTTAGGCATTTAAAACAATAAGCCTGGCCGTGTACACAATTCTGGAAAATCCTCGTTGAAAACACAACTGTGCTTAAACAATAAACAAAAACTAAAAATTCTTGAAGCTATATACATAAAACAGTTGAAACCTAACCTGAACAAAATAAACTAGAAATCTCCACAAACATTCTTAAATGCCTATAATTGATAACAAAAGCCATTGGTTTATACCAACAGCTTCCCATACTTAATACTTCTCGTTTTCTCTCTCGCGTGGTCATGTGTGACGTCCGAGCTGCGACGCGATTTTCGCTTCCGCGTCTCGTATACACGAGTTAGTCGTTGCTTTGAAATTTTTCACGCAACAAAAACAGACTATCATTATTGCTGCGTGTATTGGTTGATATAATGTAAACTAATTGTCATCTTTGATAATGGCTTATGTAAGCCGAAAGCTTAGATTGGATTTAAACATGTATCAATATGATTTCCTTTTGTCTTTCAGTGATAATGTTATTAAGCTTATCAGACAATATGAAAGGAACTTACTTAAAATAAATAGACAAAACTTGTCTATATTATTTAATGAAACATGCATCAATATATATATATATATATATATATATATATATATATATAAACAAATATATGTATTAAAGAAAACAATTTTACAATGGACATAGACAATAATATTTGTATGTGTGTGTGAACATTTGTGTATTTTGGTGAAGGTTCCTACGTACGTGTATGTGTGTATAATGTTCATGGCGTCTCCCACAAATGGGAAGACGCGAATTTCTAAGACAGCTTACATTGTATTCGCTGAAATGAAGAAATGAAAAAGAGGATTTACCTCACCTCCACGCAAGGTGGGATGCGACACGAGGCCTGAAGGAAAGAGAACGAGGCAAGACGTCGCGCAGTATTTATAGTATAGGGAGAATGACCCTTAGTGACAATTTGGGAATTAAGGAGGAGCTAACTCCGACAATGTACAGTTTTCCTATTTTTATTTTTTATTTTTCAGATCTTTCAAGTGATGACAGCTGAAGAACCTCTGGAATACGATTTAGTAAGCACGCTTAAAATGTATACTTATTCTATTTTATAAAACACAATTTGACTTGATATAGGTCTTCTCTATTTGATATAATGAACTTTGCTTTGTCATTACCCAAAGCCAATTCGAGCACAGGCCTCATAATAACGGAATATCTCATTATTAAATTGGAAAGACCAATCTGGTAACAGTTTTTTATTTAGTTTGTTTCATGTAAGATTTCTGTGGATATTCTTTTACTTTTAATGATTTAAAAAGTAGAATTATTTCTTCTATCTGTCAAGAGAATTAATTACAGACATAAAACTATTCTTGAAGCTCATGAAAATGTAATAAAAGCATGTCTCACGGAAATAACTATATCACTGTACTTTATATGTTGAACACCGTTTTTTATTATGCTATGTTAAATACTATACATTTTATATTATTTTAACTCTGAAATTTATTATACTAGTTTGATAATGTACTTTATTATAAAATATTGAAAACTGTACTTTATTATAGTATTTTGACTGTTCTTTATTATTATCCTCTTAACAAGTCCGTTAATAAATTTTAGTTTTATTTGTTCTTTTTAACGATTCGAGGATCAATAATAAAGGGTGTTTCATTAAGACGGATTATATATATGGGTGTTTCATTAAGACACATCAAAATCAGCAGTAAATAAATCAGTGTTATTGGTGAAAATTTATTTATTTCCCTATTGGATCATGTTATTTAATTCATGGCAATTATATGTGAAAAATAATATCACCGAAATGTCCTCCAAATCTGAGAGATAAAGAAGAAAATCATTGGACGCTTAAACTTAATTCACATTTAAAATCGGTCCAAGCTATTGGAACACCCTTTATTAATATTCTTCCAGCTAAGCTCTTTAAAGTAGGCAAACTGACTTACAGCGTGTCCCAATTCTCATTTCAAAGGTTTTAAAATAATATAGACGTTTTACTGGGGTATTCTCCACCCACATCAATTCTCAAAATTATTACTCCGAATAAGCTTGATGAACAAAACAGGACCCATGGAACGTATTCCTCTATTCTATATTGTTCGATTTTGCATTTTTGTATACCGACTATTAACCCCCTCAAGGCCAATATCATATTCTTTATTCTATATTGTTCGATTTTACGTTTTTGTATTCCGAGTATTAACCCTCTCAAGTACAATGGTGTTTCCAGTTCGGTTTCGATATTGATTTTCCATAATATTCGTAAATATTCAGGACAAATTTCAGCCTTGATCAAAAAAAGTAAATAAAGCTTCTTTCTTTATATCCAATCGTCTTTTCTGGAATGGACAGCTTTCCACAGGTTTTTTTTTTTTTCTTGTTTTGCTCTAAATCGCATTTGTCTCTTACTGTTGTTCTACCCCCCCGCATCACACACATTTTGGATACGTTATTTTCTGTTCATTCCATGATTCAGTTGCATTCAGTATATCCTGTGAATATTAAATTCTCCAAACGTTTGTCATCATTTCCAGGAATATCAACTATCACTTTCTGAATGCTACCAGCAGATTTCTGAGGGCTCTTATTCTACTTAAAATGCCTCATTACACACATATTCTTTCTGTTCACCGGTAAAATCATCTCTATTTCTTTATATCAATTCTTCATATGTGAAAAGATTGTCCAACATTCACAGTGTAGGGTCAAATGACTACGACGAATATAATATCATTTTAACTAGGAAAATTAATTTTAAGAAGACTGTGTAGAAACAGTGTAGCATAACACTACACAGCCTAGAAGCAAAATTGAATTTACAGGCTATCCGTGTAGGAAGTATAGCATTACCTTTAAAACTGTCTAGCATCAACATTTATTTCCCAGTCCACCAGCATAGGAACGGTGTAATATCGCCCTACATTGTCTCCTATTATAATTTAATTCCCAGGCCAATATTGTAACACTGTGACATCGTCCTACACTGCCTACTATCAATATTTTATTGCCAGGCCGCTAGGATAAGAGTGTTGAATCGCACTACACGGCTTACTATTAAAATTTAATTCACAGGCCACCATTTGGTGTTGGCAGTCCTGCTGCAGATGAACAAGATAGTATCGCTCCACTCACTCAAAGATCAAAATTTTGTTCATAGTCCTGCTGAATACAAAGAGTATAGTATCACTCCGCTCATCCTAAGATCAAAAATTTGTTTCCACTCCTGCTATATACAACAGTATAGTATCACTGCAATCTTCCAAAACTCAAAATTTTATTTAGTTATATCATCTCACCGCTGCATAAGATCAAAATTCTATTCCAGTTTTACTCCATATCAACATTATAGTATCACTCCGATCTTCTTAACATCAAAATTCTGTTTCCAGTCCTGCTGCATATGAGCAGTATAGTATCTCTCCATTCATCCAAAGATCAAAAATCTGTTCGACGTCCTGCTGCATTCAAACAGTATAGTATCACTCTGCTCTTCCTAAGATCAAAATTTGTTCCCAGTCCTGTTGCGTTCAAACAGTATAGTATCACTCTGCTCTTCCTAAGATCAAAATTTTATTCCCAGCCCTGCTGCATTCAAACAGTATAGTATCACTCTGCTCTTCCCAAGATCATGTCGTTTTAATATTATTATTAATATTTTTTTTATATTTTGAAGAATTTTTCTCCTTTTTTACAACACAATTTCAAATCTGAGTAATGACTTGATTATTTCGATTATGTCACATAATTCTAGTAAACCCTACGAAGACTTTGTTGGGATACGAACACCGATCGATGAGTTTGTCGACATGTATCATCCTATTTCAGCCAGGCAAATTTTTTTTCTTGTTTCCAAATTCTATCCTTGTACTGGACTTACATATCTAAGGATATTAAACAGAATGTGTTTTAATCTAATACTAGAAAGATATACACATTGCTGCGAATATGTTGATTTAGAAAAGTACAGACATTTATTTAAATTACTTCATATATATGTATATATATGTGTGTGTGTGTGTAGTACAGGAATTTTATATTGGTCATACGAGACTGTAGGTACGTTATTTTTCCTTTTTTTTGCAACAATTTATTTTCATAACAGGTGTATATTTTTGCCATATTCCTACTGAATATATTTTCGTCTCATCAATATATATATATATATATATATATATATATATATATATATATATATATATATATATGCATATATACTTTGATATTTTAAACAGATATACGCCGAAGATGAAAGTGAACAAACGGTGGATCAGTTTTCTATTAAAAATCCAATTGAAACTACGCGAAGACTTTCTACTAAGAAGTCAATTAAATCTACCACACCACATAAGACTAACAGTCCAATTATAACTAAGCGACCACATTCTACTAAAAAGCCAGGTACAACTAAGCAACCACATTCTACTAAAAAGCCAGGTACAACTAAGCGACCACATTCTACTAAAAAGCCAGGTACAACTAAGCGACCACATTCTACTAAAAAGCCAGGTACAACTAAGCAACCACATTCTACTAAAAAGCCAGGTACAACTAAGCGACCACATTCTACTAAAAAACCAGGTACAACTAAGCAACCACATTCTACTAAAAAGCCAGGTACAACTAAGCGACCACATTCTACTAAAAAGCCAGGTACAACTAAGCAACCACATTCTACTAAAAAGCCAGGTACAACTAAGCAACCACATTCTACTAAAAAGCCAGGTACAACTAAGCGACCACATTCTACTAAAAAAAGCCAGGTACAACTAAGCAACCACATTCTACTAAAAAAGCCAGGTACAACTAAGCGACCACATTCTACTAAAAAGCCAGGTACAACTAAGCGACCACATTCTACTAAAAAGCCAAGTACAACTAAGCGACCACATTCTACTAAAATGCCAAGTACAACTAAGCGACTAGCAACCACCACAGGCCAAGTTACAACTACGAATTCCGTAAGAATCTTTTAATTCTTTTTTAATTTTAAGCTTTTCTTGCTTTCATTCTGTAAATAAATTCTGTAGTATACCAAAAAGATAGATTCATTAAGATTGCATACAATTGCGAGCTGAATCTTTAAGTGTAAACAGAGCAGTTTGAAGCGCTGAAAACAAAATACTCATTTTCTATTCCAACCTTCCCAAATTGTAAGAGTAGCCGATTCAGTGGCATTTTGAGGATCCTCCTCTCCTTCAAATGAATAAAATCTTCTAAAAGAGTCCAGTTATTCCAGTAACGATAGCGCTAAAAACTGCTGAATGACCTCGATTTTTCGAACACCTCCATTTGGAGAACTGTCTGAAAGTATGGAAAGATCGTCAATGAAACAATAAATAAAAAATAGTTGGGTGTTTTATTACCACCAGCATATATGTGTGGAGGGGAGAGGAACTTCGATGTGTGTAATGGCTAGCAAGCTTGTCTCGCTAGATCAATTACGACTGAGTTGTGAGTTCGATCTTCACTGGGTAACACATCTAAGCTACGCTTAGAATATGATTTTGGCTCTTCAACGTGGTGAAATGGTTATCAAACTTGCCTTGCTAGGTCAATTACGACGGACTAATAAGTTCCATCCTCATTCCATACTTTCGGCTTTATGCCACATTCAGGTTTCGCTTAATAAATCACTATACGAATGGTATCCCTCCAAAAATGTACTCACTCTTTAAATGACAATAAATGCATTGTTTATTGACTTGAAAACAAGATTAATGTTTAAAATTAAGAAATATTAATGTTTATGACTTACAAAGATGATTTTATAAGCATAGCTTAGACGTGGCACAAGAAAATGACCTAACAAGACAGTTTTGATATTATACCATTATACCATGTCCAAGTGCCTTTTTAGGTCAATTTTAAAGTATTCATAATAATGTCTGTGTGCGTGTCTGTTCGTATTCATATTCAATTATTAACAATGTTCTTTTCTTCTTTTCCAAAGGGCATCAACCATTTGTCTTCAAATGTCTGTTACGTAATCAGCTTTGTTGCAGCAACATATTTGACGAAAATATTCTAATAAAAATGTTTGTAATAATTGGATTTGTTCCTCTGCTTTTTACATTATAATAAAAAACGTTTAACTCTATATTTCTTTTGAGGCTTAATTCTTTCAACTTACGTCTTCATTTGTTTTTCTATGGATTCTTACCATTTTGTTTAAAGGTCATATCATTTTTGATTTCAGATGAAAACTTCGAAATTTTACAACAGAATTGCAAATTATAGTTTAATCTAGTTTATCTGTCTATATCTCTGACGTGAAATAAAAGGTTCCGTTCGAAATTCCAATCACCTGAAGAAGGCCGGATCGTACAACGGCCGAAAAGTTGTGAATATGGCAATGAATATGAGGATAACAGTCCGAATAATGCAAATAATCAAAATACCTCATCTCTGAGAAATAGACAGATATTGAAGGAGATTACCCTTGATCATTTTTAAGTTTTATATGATTTATTCGTTTGAAGACATTTTCAGCGACTGTACTTACAACCCAGATATGACCGCAATACTCCATTGTTGATTTGATCTAACTTTTGTAAAGATAAAAATTAAAATCTATATTGCCTGTTCTAGGTTCAATATATATTTAAAGAATATCTTAATATGTTCTTGGAATTCTTGCTTATCTCTTTAAATTGTGAATTAATTCTATAATAATTAATTCTATGTGGAGTAATGAATAGCGGCTCAGATTATGGAATAGGAGAGCCGAGTTCGATTTCCAGTAGAATCCATTATATTCATTTACGTGCTAATACCCTTGAGAAAGGTATGAATCCTCTTCTTTTCCCCCAGCTATGGGTAAATAGCAGGACAGACCGGGTTCTCTAACCTTACATGGCAACTGGTCTACCGCAAAAAGAAATGGCAACCTTCTGCGGGAAAAAAACTGTCCCGTCAGTCATGTATCGAAAGATACATGATCGCCTAAGCGTGTTTCACACATGGCACATATCTGTTATTCATTTACGAGCTAATACCCTTGGAAAAGGTATCAATCCTCTTATGCTCCCCCTCCCCCCAGCTATGGGTAAATAGCAGGACAGACCATGTTCTCTAGCCTTGGATGGCAACTGGTCTACTGCAAAAAGAAATAGCAATCTTCTGCTGGAAAAAAAAATCTGCCTCGTCACTCATGTAAGGAAAGATACATGATCGCCTAAGCGTGTTTCACACATGGCACATATCTGTTATTCATTTACGAGTTAATGCCCTTGGGAAATGTATCAATCCTCTCATTCCCCCCACACACCCAGCTATGGTTAAATAGCAGGACAGACCGTGTTATCTAGCCTTTGGTAGCAACTGGTCTACTGCAGAAAGAAATGGCAACCTTCTGCGGGGAAAAAAATCTGCTTCATCAGTCATGTATCGAAAGATACATGATCGTCTAAGCGTGTATCACGCATGGCCCATAACTGACTGAATTGTTAATACTCTTGACATGATGTGTTGAAAACATTTGTTTTAGACTGTATTATTTCAGATAATTCACAAGAGTGTTTAACAGCCACCATTTTTTTATGGCAGTCCTTGGATGAATTTAGTTCACAGAATGTTGATGAACAAACTATGAAGAGATTTTTTAAAGAAAAAAAAACAAAGGAAGGAAAAGGAATCTCATAATATAATCGAAGCATGCGAGAAAAAATTAAAACGAGTGTATTTTTTTGTCTCATTTCAGTTTTATGTTGATGTTATGCTTGACTTCCGATGATGTCATTTAGAGTTTATCGTTCTGTTTTGTACCACCAGCAATTCCAAGTGAAAGATGACACGCACACAGTTGGACAAAGAAACTTACAACCAGTGGAACTTGTCTACACTTAAATACATGATTGTCAAATTTTCTTTTTTATTATTTCAAAGAAAAAAAAACAGAAAGAAAGCCTGTTTCAGTACTTACTAAGTTTACCTGATTAGGCGAAAGTGCTAAATAGTAGCAGCAAGAATGGTTTGCGCCAATCTTCAAAGTGAAGAAAATCCTTGAAAATTATCGTTCAGAATCATGAAACTCGGTTTCACAAAACAGCGGTCCGTGAAAAGCATCTCCTCGAGTAGGACTTATATCTCACCAATGGAATATGAAGGGAATGAAGGGGGTTCGCTATAATGTGAGTAGCATGGCGGGTCCTAGCCATGAACATAAGAACTGGTGGAACTATGAAATGTAGTTTGTCAGATCACTTTCCATGGAAATAGCGATAGATTAAAGAGGGGTTTGCAACGTTTCGTCTGTGGGAAACGGGTTGTAGGGTGAAAAAAAATAATTCATCATCCATAAGGACGCGGAAAACGATTTTGAACTCTATCAAGACAGGGAAAGAAGACAAAAAGGTAACCCCTGTCCATATATGGCAGAATGATTCTCTACAGTGACTTAAGAAAAGTTTTTAACCAAGAGAAATAAACTACATCCAATTTCAAAATTTAATTACGTAATTCCTACTCAACATAAACAAACAGCATTTGGAACTAGTATAGAGTAGGTCCTCCATTTGCTAGTTTCAGTGTTTTCATGAAATTGATCAAGTTATCAACAATCGTCTGAGCCATATTTTGCCACTCCTTTAGCAATGTTTCCATAAGGGTTTCCACTCACGTGATTTTGGTTGCACGCTCTTAAAGTTTTCGGTGAAGATGCTCCTAAATGTGATCTAGTTGTTCGTTTTTGTTTTGTTTTTTTGTTTGTTTGAAAGCAAATAACTTGGATCCCGTGAGTTCCTGGAGTTCTCCAACCAAATTCTGAATAAATACAAACCGCCAGGGCCTACAATTAACAAGACCCTGGCGACATCTCATCCTCGTCAGATAAGGCAAAGATCTTCGACACGAACTATGCCTCTAACTAAAACTTAAATGACAAAGGCCATCTTATTTCCGACTGTCCCTGTCTCACCGAGCACAATCTGAGTGATATTTTTTATCATAGCCCGGGTTGTCTCAAAACTTATAATATATTTTGACCACAAAAAAAGCTACTATCCAGATAAAATACGAATGGTTGTTCTTAAGAGTATTAATGCAGAGTTTCCCCCGAAATTAGCGAAATTCTTTAACCGCTACTTGAAGGAAAAATCTTTCTCAATTGTGTGGAAGGTGTCACGTGCATTCTAGAATGCGCGTGAGAGCTTATTCCTGTCTAAGGATAGACCCATCAGCCTCCTTAATGTTATTAGCAAGCTTTTCTTGAAGCTGTAATCAACAAGAAGGTTGTTGATTATAGCTTCAAAAAAATAGAGACAACTTCTTGAACGACAAGTAGTACGGATTTCGATCGGCTCGATCTACTGCTGATGTTCTGCCATTACTCACAGAATCTGTCAGGCACTACACAACAAATATATCTGAAGGATAATCGCATTAGATATTTCAAATGCCTTTGACAAGCGTTACTGCAAAAACATCTCTAGCTATGGAATCACTGGAAGTTTATTTTCAATTATAAAATCCTTCGTAACAGGTAGATCTCTGAAGGTATTTGTTAAGGGTCAATCAATCGAGACTCAAATGATCATCGCAGGCGCCCCCCACCCAAGCATCACTTTTCGGTTAGATCATCTTTCTACCAAAGTGTATACTCCGATCTTTTGTGAATATGTATGCTGATGTTGAATCGGTATATGAGGCAACCTCTAAATCTCTAGATGACCAAAGTTTGGCAGCTAATCTTTCCCCTGTCTAACCTAACTCAGTGAGGGAAGAGTAAGCTGGTTACCTTCTTTACCTCGAAAATCGAACGAGTGACGTTCTAATGGATCTGAATTTTCACTTATTACAATGAGCGGGTGCTCTCTCGTGGAGGCCCCATGCCTTGAGTGTACTGGAACGGTACGAGAAACCGACCATTTTTAGGGCATCTTTAGCGATGGATCGTATGTACGAGTTCCACTTGAGATCTGAGTTGAGCTTAAGTCCCATGAAGAGCTCAAAGCATGGGGAAGGGTTATATATATAG